TTCTTGCCTCTTTCCATATATAGTCTTAAGCACTTGAGGACTCTTCCCCCAATTCATCCCTCTTCTTTCCAGTGACATAATTCTCCATTTTGTTGGGAGATAGAGTTGAAACCCCTGACTCCTTCAAGGTCCCTCATCCAGGCTTTGTTGGTTCTCCAGATGTGTGAGACCTGAATTTCCAGCCAGCATGTCATAGAATTTAATCCTTGTGTATCTTAATTTCTCGTGGTCCCACCAGGGCCCCTTCAGTGTTTTGCAGTGGGAGGTCTTCTCATGAGATGAAGGAAATCATTAGAACTTATCCTTAGAAATATCTCCGAAATGATACTTTGTAAACTGATCTATTTTATCTTGGGAGACAGGGCTGTTTTATTGAGTAGGCATTTGATGGCTAAATAAATTAGGATTGTTTTACAGATGTATCTGTGTGTACACACACACACACACACACACACACACACACACACACACATACACACACACGTTTTTAGCATTGTATGTATAAACATGCCCAATCACTAAGAATGAAGTCCAAAATATGAATACATTTGGGTGTACTTATAAAAAAAACTAGGAATTTCTACCAGATCTGGGCAATGATCATACAGTGACTCTAAATAATTGGATTCAGGATTGAATCAAGTCAGCAGCCTATTGAAATAAATGCAGAAGATCGTGCAAGAGAAAGAATGAAATTGTGACAGAGTCTCATCTGCTGAGCATCCAGTTGATTGTGCATTCATTTTCAGGGGGTGGATCAGCTTTCTGTTCAGCTGAATTTATCTGGTTAATTAAGATAGAATTAGAAACAAAAGTGAGCATGAATAGCAGCTTCAGAGAGCTATAATGCGGAACCAAATATTTGCCTTAACTTTAGGAAGAAGCCCTGCTGATTCTACCCTGCAGCCTTTCTGCTCCGCTGACCATCTCTTGTACTTGGGTGTTGTCACAGCTGCACAGTTTGCTGATGCAGAGTTATTCTGCTGCTCTTTCTGCTAGGCATGTGATCTTTTCCACACTGTCCTCCTTTGACCCAACTCGAACTGAAGCATCCCAAATTGAGAATTTAAGCATCCCAAATTGAGACCGGATCTCACAAAAGGTTTCAGTAGGCACGTTTGTACCGTTGTGAAATGGACAGGGACGTAATTTTGTTCATGCATGTCAGTGGATTGAGCTGTAGCACTGTACAGAGGTTAATTGCAATTTTATTGTTAAACCCGTGTTCCTGTCCCTGGTAGAAAAATATCACAAAGCAACACAATATTTGATATAAAAGTAAAAAAAACAAAAACAACCCAAGAGAAATATCTCTCATTCACAGATGGAAGAACCTGCTTGTCACCTAACGTGTGCGTTGGTGCGTATGCACACACACATAGCCACACATACAAGCAAACACAAACCCCAGCTATGAAAATGAGGAATGGCAACTTCTTCAAATCCTGTAGCAACGTACACCATGGACTGTAGTTCAGTGCAAGCTGACATGGGGATTCACAGGTTTGGTTTTGAGGGGAAATATGCGGAACGGTGTAATTGATGCAACCAGTTGGGCAGGTTTCAAAACGTATCGTCTTGGAAACATCCCACAGTCTTGCTTTTGGTATCACAACAGTACAGGTGAGAGCATGAGAACAATAGAGGTTAGGAATGTTCATGCTGTGTTCAAATATAATGGGTTCAAAGAGCATCTCGGAACATCGCAGCCAATATTACCCATATCGCTCGCACGAGATAGAAGTGCCTCAGCGGCGTGAAAACCTCCATATTGGTTGGTGGAGGGTTACAATATATGATGCATTTCGAAGTAACTTTATGCAGAATGGTCTGAAGTAGTCCTCGACTTAGAAAAGTTTATTTAGTGACCATTTGAAGTTACCGCGGCACTGGAAGAATGCGACATGGCCATTTTTCACACTTACAACCATTGCAGCATCCCCAGGGTCACATGATCAAAATTCAGACGGTTGGCAACTGCCTCACGTTTAGGATGGTTGCAGCATCCTGGGGGGGGGTGCCACCTGCTCGCCTTTTGCGACCTTCTGACGAGCAAAGTCAACGGGGAACTAATTTAACCGTGTTACTAATTTAAGAACTGCAGTGATTCGCTTAACAACCGTAGCAAGAAATATCGCAAAATGGAGGCAAAATTTAGTTAACAACTATCTCCCTTAGCAGCAGAAATTTTGGGCTCAATTGTGGTCGCAAGTCAAGGACTACATGTACTATAAAGCATGGCCAACCGTCCATCATTATAATAACGATATTCTTGCAAAAAGTCTGAAGGAGAGAATTGGATGCTGTGCTGGAACCAAGAGTTCTTAGTTTCCTGCTCAGCCGCTGAGGGGGTTTCCTGGCATCTGCCACAAATTAGATGTGTAAACAAGACTAAGCCTACCATCAAATGCCACTTTTCGATTTTATCCTCACTACTATCATCTGTTCAGTTAGCAAAACTAAAACAGCATATGCCCACTTTTCAGCACCTTGGCACCAGGCATCCTGGCCCTCAGTGTGAGAAGGAGACTTTCTATTATTGGTACAAGAGAGGAGTCTCTTGATCTCTCCTTTATGTTTGAAAAAAATTGGGCCGAACTTCTCCTCAGGGCTTTTTGGCCCTTTCTGCCGGCAAATGCTATTGCAATGCTTCATAGAAGGAATTCAACAAGGCGCAACTTCCACTGAATCAACATTTTTGTGCCCTCCGAAAACAGCTTTCCTTCTACCCCTTTCTCCCGTAAAGTCCTGTTATTTTGGAAAGTGTGCTGCTGATACACAGTGTGCTGCAATGAACAACTCGAGAGGCTCGCACTTGAGATGATTTTTTTGCTTTGAGCACAAACCCCAGCTGGCCGAGAACAAAGCCCATAAAGGGTCAGAGATGTGTCTCTTGTGCAGCGTATGGAAGCAAGATGAGCCAGTGAGCATATAGGTGGAGAAAGAGCTGTACAAATAGATCCCAACTTTCCTTACATAATCTGATTTTCACGGCTCAGCGCACCAACAGTCAATATGACCAATCAGCTGTTCAGGAGAGCGAACAGGTACCGATCTGGCATTCCTACAGTCCAGCTTTTCTAACTCAAAGTTTATTTCAAGTGGCATTGAGACTTTATAAAAAAAAACATTCATTTAATAAAATAAGGGGAGGAATCTTGCTTTCTCTCCAGCTTTATCAGCCACTCTGGATCTACTGCAGGCTAGCTGGCAACTGTATATTGGTGCTGCTGGAATGAGCCAACATTTTACGTAAAGGGGTTGGCTGAATGTGGACAATAATTTCAAAAGGGGGGGATCTGTGTTAATTCCATTACCTGCTCCTTTTTTTAAAGCGATGAATTGTCACCTGATAATTCAGCATGCCCCTGACTTCCAGGGATTGGTCTATATTGGGAAATACCAGCCCAATATTCAGAATTAGGATTTGAAGTCATCCCAGGACAGGTACTCATTCTGACATGGTCTGTTCATATTCTTGGGCATTCTCAGTCCTTATTCAAGCTTTAGATAAATCTTGCTTACTTCCATATGTAAATCTGGAAGGCGCCGTGCTGAGTTGTCTCATCCTAAGCATCACACTCACAAGAGGAATCTTTTCTGGGCATCCAATAGATGACATGTATTGACACCCTCGTGGCCAGTGGGTATGGTCTTACTTTCTCATATATTAATATAGTCTGGTTTATTTTATTTGTGTTATATCCCATCTTTCATTCAGCAGGTTGAAGTAGTATACATGGCGCTCCCTCTTATTTTTCACCACAGTAGCCAACCTGTGAGGTAGACTGGCCTGAGAGAGAATTCCCAGCCCAAACTCACCCAGGGAACATCTCTAGCTAAGGAGGGACCTGAACTCGGATCTCTCTGCTCCCAATGCAACATCTTAATTGCTAATAGGTCTTAAATGAAAACAGGAGAGGTAAACTGGAATCTAGTATGATTCAGTTCTTGAGGCCTTTCTTAGTTGGAGACTTGTATAAACCCAGGCTTCTCATTGTGTCTCAGAGTAAACTTTCTAAAAGGCTGTCCTGTGATATAGACACCAATGCCTACCAAATAACTGTAGCAATATTAGGGCATTTATCAGTTGATATTAGTCTTGGAAGCATTATGCCTTGAATCAAAGGCAGAATGACTTAATGCTAATTGCTAGAGAACAGTACAGTGGTTGAAAAGGGCATTTGCCCTCCTATCCTTCCCGAATGGATCTAGATGTGACAGAATACTGGCTCTTTTTATGTTCTTAGACAGTCCAGTGAGTACGGCTTAGAGAGCATGCAGTTGAAAACAGAGAGAAGACAAAGTATATTACAAATGGATCAGAGCTTGCTTTCCTGAACAGAGGGGGGGGGGTGTAAGCACCAACTTACTTAGAACTGGGCACCAGGGACCGGTTACGTGGAGAGAGGTTTTTCTGCAGACTGGAGGGTGCGTGGTTTTGTGGGCTGCCTGCATCCCACAGATGGGGCTTTGCTTGTTTGTGCGGCCCAGTTGCTGGCATGCTGTGGCCCGGTACTGGTCCACGGACTGAGGGTTGGGGACCCCTGACTTAGAAGACAAGAAAGTGGAAATGTGACGGATTATAGTCTGCAGAGGTTAAGGTGGTTAACTGAGCAATATTATTATTTTACTGTTTCAAAGCATCGTTTGTGGAGTCCTTGATCTCTCTCTGCTCAGGCTATTATCTTGCAAGTATTTCATTTCCCACCCCTCAGTGCCAGAAGGGAATGGGGTTTGTTCTCTATTCATACACACTGGCTTGCCCTGCCCGCGGTAACATAGCCATGCTACTGTATTATCCAACTAGGTAACATAATCAGTGTTAGAAAAGAATGGGGTTTCATTCCTTTCTAACACTGATTATGTTACCTAGTTGGGTAATGAAACGTCTGCAAGAAAACAACCAAGCTCAGAGAGCACCAAGGACTCCGCTGTTCAACCCCGAGCGTCAAATACTTTCTTCTACTGATAAAGCATCATTTCTTTGGTTTCTTCAGGTCAGATCTTGCCTACAAACCGAAACACGCCAAGTCCCATTGATCCCGACAGCATTCAGGTTCCAATTGGGTATGAACCAGACCCTGCCGATCTTGCTCTTTCTAGCATTCCTGGTCAGGAAATGTTTGACCCTCGCAAGCGCAAGTTCTCTGAGGAGGAGCTCAAGCCCCAGCCGATGATTAAGAAAGCTCGCAAAGTCTTCATTCCCGAAGATCTGAAGGTAACTTGGGACTGGTGTCTAGGGCTATGCCGAGGTCCAGACTCAAAGGGGAAAAGGTAAATTGGAGGATGCACAGGTAGATAGGTTACACCCGTTGGCAACTTCTTAAAGAAACAGTGTCTTTTTCTGGCCTCTGCCACGGTTTGATAAAGACAGGAAGGACAGCAATTTGAGGTGGTACAATGACATTTGGCAGGAATAAAGGAATATTGTATTATGAGAGCAAGTGAAAGAGAGCTCTCCAACCGAATCTCCACGAGTGGAGTTGGCAATCCTAGATTCTTAACCTAAGTAAAGTAGAAATTGCAGAGGGTTTCTTTTTTTTTGCTGCATTCATTTTAATTTTTGTACCCTTCCTATTGGTGAACAAGGTGGGATCACCTTAAATTCAGGATGGTCTTCCTTTCAGGGAAGTGTGGTCTGCTTCTTCCCTGAAATCAGATGTTGTCCAGTGAGACTACTTCCAAGAGTATAGATCTTGAATTGAAATTCTCCATTCCCTTCTGTGCTCAGAATACTGGACACAATGCTGTACCAATTATAAATAGGATAACCACGAAGAACTGCAGATGCAATAAATCTTGCTTCTAAATCCTGAGCTTCTAATATGCACAGGATGGCAAAGATTGTTCAGAAAGATTTGTGACAGAGCTTAAAAAAAAAAAGCCAACTCAGGCAGGGTGGGGTGCTAATCCCCTTGAGCAAGTTGTTATTCCAGCATGTATTATCTCAATTATTTTAAAAGAGTCACCAGGGTTCTTTTTTTTTTTTAAAGACAATCTTGTTTGCTATATAATTCTGCGGTCTTAGAAAAGTTAAGAAACTCTCTGCGTACATTTTTGCCTTCATTTGAGACACACAAACCTGTGAGCAGAATAACAAAAGGGAGGAGGTGTTTTTTTTTTTAAAAGACATTAAATGCAGAGAAATCTTAGTAAAGTTGCTGATGATCTTTGTGAACTGGATTAACAGGCAATCACTTCCTGGAGTTTGCGCTGCTTTGTCTTGTTCCCATTCCTAGCAAAATGCTTGACCAAAGTTTGTGTTTCCTTGTGTTGATTGGTGGCAGAATTTGGGTACAGAGGCAAGCACAAATTAGATCCACTGATAGTCTCTGGTCTATGTATGATTTCAAGCATTTGCTGTCCTCTCAGACTGGGATTAAAGGTTTAGATTTTGTATTTTTTTTTAAATACAAGAGATGTGCATGGCCTTGGTAATTCAAGAATGAATTGAATTGAAAGTTGCATTTTTTTCCTGGAGAGGAATCAGATGGGAAGTAAGCACTGCAGAAATATATGAGCCAATATCCCATCCTTCTTAGAAAGAGAGACCAGTTGGCGGCTGTGGCCAGGGGGGCGTTTTACCGGGTGCGCCTGGTGCACCAGTTGCGGCCTTTTCTGGACCGGGATGCCTTGCGCACAGTCACCCACGCTCTTGTCACCTCCCGCCTGGACTACTGTAATGCTCTCTACATGGGGCTTCCCTTGAGGAGCACTCGGAGGCTCCAGTTAGTCCAGAATGCGGCTGCGCGAGCGGTGATGGGAGCGACTCGTTGCTCCCACGTAACGCCGCTACTGCGCGAGCTGCACTGGCTGCCTGTGGCCTTCCGAGTGCGCTTCAAGGTGTTGATTATCATCTTTAAAGCGCGCCATGGCATTGGACCTGGTTATATCCGAGACCGCCTTCTGCCACAGATTGCTTCCCACCGGCCGATACGCTCCCACA